CACGCTGAGCAGAGCCAAGGGCTGGCATCTCTGGAGGTAGAGAGAAGGCTAAGGCGACCTCAACTGTTGGCCTAGCCTTTTGTCTCAGTTCCTGAGGACTGACAGCCAGGGAAAGGAAGGAGTCACTGTTCTTGGGGACCCCCACTCTGAGCCCAGAATGGTGCCAGGCCCTTTAAAGACATGCCTTTCCTGACCATGGCAACATCCCACGGGGCGGGGGCTACTATAAGCCCCATTCTGCAGATGGGGAAACTGAGACCCAGAGAGGCCACAGCAGCTAGGTGCAAAGCCAAGGTAAAAACCCAAAGGGCCTTGGCTCTGGGCTCCATGCCCTTCCTGCAACCCAGCAATCTTCCAGAATCAACACAACGGCTGACAAAACAAAATGGAATGGAAGAAAGAAAACCACTGAAAACAATATAAATGTCCATCAACTGAGGATCAGTGAAGTGACTTATAGAATATTCGTTCAGGAGGCTCCCTTGCTGCTGCTTGAAGAAGTGAAGCAGGTGAATGCTTTTCGCACTCTTGTACGGTCAGCCATGAACACACCTTGGAGCTAAAATGATCTCCGGGGCGCCTGGGTGGCTCAGTGGGTTAAGCCTCTGCCTTCAGCTCAGGTCATGATCTCAGGATCCTGGGATTGAGCCCCGCATCAGGCTCCATGCTCAGCAGGGAGCCTGCTTCTCCCGCTCCCCCACCTCTCTGCCTGCCTCTCCGCCTACTTGTGATCTCTGTCTGTCAAATAAATAAATAAATAAAATCTTAAAAAAAAACCCAAAAAACTAAGTTATAAAATGATCTCCAAGTGGGTATGAAGCTCAGTGCACACGTGTGCCACGAACAGCACCTGTTCATTTGTTTTACATCATCTCACTTTCTATCCAAAGCCCCATCCTGCCAGGCTTGTAGGAAATTCAACCTCAGCCCTTCACTGTCCTCCCCGGCACACTCGGGGTCCACTCCGAGATAGTGAAAAAGTCCTGGGGTCACATAGAGCCGTGAGGCAGCGGCAGAATGGGAGAAACCTGTTGCCTGGTGGAAACTGAATTTCCATTCCCCCAGACACATCCTTCCCCAGGCCTGAACAGCTCCCCTAACTCAGCAGGATCTGGGTTGCCCACCCTTGCTCAGGGAACCCACAACCTTCTGTTTCTTCTTCACAGAGAACTTCTTTAGGGTCTCGGAGAAATGGCCCATCTCTCATCAAGTTCCTGCAGGGGCTCTTTCTCTCTCCTCTCCCTCCAGGAGGCACCTCGGCTGCTCTCTCACTGCCCCTCCCCCACTGCCCAGAAGCTTCTCAACAGACTGGGCTTTTGGTTGCCAAAGCTAGCAGGGGAAGTTATTTTGCAAGCAACCTCCTTCTCCTGCTTCCCACACTTCCTCAAAACTCCCCCAAGGCAGGGAGATCTAGAACTTTCTTCATCTGTGTTTTTCCTAAAGGAGAAAAAAAATTACTATCTCAAAAAACTATCTTGTCAGTTTCTCCTGATACTAAACATATGTATATTATATAAATGCATATAGTATACATTTATTTCTAAATATATACATGGATACTGAGTGTGTGTGCTATACTCTTGCCACCCAATAGTCCTGAGTCATGGAGACCAGTTTCTCTAGTTTATTATTTTTATTATTGCTGAAATTAATGATCGTCTCACATGTCATATCAGATATACATTCAGCAGCAAGGAACTAATAACCCAACCACCAGGGGCTGAAACACATTGACATTTGTTTTCCTTACATAACAGAAGCACAGGGACAGGCCCAGCAGGACACATCAAGCACCCAGAGCCCTTCCAGTTCTCTGTACTAGGTCCTCACCTTGTTGGTTTCTCACCCTCGGGCTTGTTGCCTCACTGTCCCAAGATAGCTGCTGTAGCCCCAGCCATCTCATTCGTGTTAAGGTAGAAAAAGGGGAGAAGGAGCAGCCCCCCAAAGAAGAAAAACAGCCCCTTTCCTGGAATTGCCCCTTAGCCTTCTCCTTCGGATGCCATTAGTGGGCTCATTATGAGGTACCCACTGCTCTCCAGGAAGCTGCAAAGGGACCCCTTGACTTTTCCGGCCTTCATGATGCTGGCTGGAAAGGGAGAGGGGATGAGGAATGTCTGCTGGTTAACTGCATCATCTGGCTCTGCCAAGCACCAGGCTTTATGGTTTACAAAACTGCCACTGTTGCCATTTTACAGAAGCGAGGTGGGCACACAGGACTGGAGCTGAGCCCAGAGAGCTTTCCAGTCCCCACATTGATCTGTGGGCTTCATACTTGCTCTGCCCAGAGAGCACTTCGACAGTCTGGTCCAGAGCTGTGCCCCTCTCTGTCACAGACCTGCCTGTCAGGGACTAGCCCACAAAAAGGGCGGTGTCCTATGGGCCTGTCCCACAGACCCATGAAAGAGGAGGTGACAAAAGAAAGTGAGAGGGGAGCGAGACCACAGAGGAGAGCGTATGAGGGAAAAGAGATGGGAGGTCAGAAAGGAGGGGGGGGTGTGGAGAAGGGAGGAAGAAGGGGTAGGGAGGAAGGTGGAGAGAAAGGGAGGAAGGGAGGGAGGGAGGACATGTGGAAGCCATGGGGCTGGGCAGCAGGAGACAAGGGGCCAGACCCTGCAGCTAGACCCCTGGGTGGGCAGCAGTCAGCCCTGACATCCGCCCCCACCTCCACCACAATGCCCACCAGGTGAGTGAGTGTGACCACCGCCTGACTGGGGGACTGAATGGCCACTGGGGAAATAACATCGCTGGGGGGGTGGGGGAGGCCCTTTGACCTGTCTGGGAGAAATCCAGGTGGCTTATCAGAGGCGGTGACCTCCAAGTTGGGACCTGAAACTCCTTCACCGGGCATTCAGACTCTTCAGCCTGGCCTCGCCTCCTTCCCGATTAGGCCCACCCTGGCTTAGACCCTGGCCCAGAACTCATGCTCAGTGCATGTTTGTTGAATGAATAATTTGAAAACTGTAGAGCAACATGGTACAAAAGCAGGATAAAATAGTTCACTTCTACAAATTCATTTAAAAAAAAAAAAAAAGAAAAGGTTATCAGGAGCATGGTGTGGGCTTTTTCTCCCAAAGGTGAAAGGAGGAAAGAAAGGAGGTTCGGGCTGCTCCATGGAGAGGGTTTCCTTGGGCTGAAAGGCACCCAGGGCCAAGACCTTCCCCGGGATCTGTCCCAGGGTTGAGAGACAACGTCCTCTGCCCCTCCCCTAGTACCCGTCCCACCCCTTCTCTTCATTCCCGGGCCCTGGTACCTGTCCCAGCTACCAACCCTTCCCTTCATTCAGGGAAATCCTTCTAAAATACCACCTTGACCATGTCACTGCTCTGTTTGAAGCCTTCCAGAATTTCCCCATGACTACCTCACACCTTCACTGCTTCTACTCTGCTCCAAAACCTTCCATGGCTCCCCTCTGCGCTGAGGAACGTCTGGTCTCTTCGCAATGGCCCTCAAAGGCCTGTGTGATTGGGGCCTGGCCCACCTTTCAGCTCAGCATCTCCTGACCTGCACGCTCCACGATGACCAGCCACCCCACACTCCACACTGTCCTGGAACGCCCCACTCTCTCTTATTCGCATGCTGTCCCCTGTGCCTCGAGCATTTTCATTCCTCTAGAGCTGGCTGGTGCCCACTCATGCTGTAGGATGTCCATCCTCATGCCCAGCCCATAGCAGGCCTCCCCTCAGTATAGCCCGGGCATCTCCACAGCCCTTGTGACCCACGAGCTCCCTGGAAACAGGCTGTGTCTCTGGCCACCACACCCCCAGCACCCATCAAACCAAGTCATGTCCTATCTATTTGTCACACCTGCAAATGGAGAGGGTGCATGGCCTGTGGGCAGTCACTGTGTCGGGACCAGGCTCTGGGGCCACAGTCAGGAGCCTGTTCCCGCTGCATTACCATGTGCCTTTGGAGACGGAAACCCATGGGGCTTATGGGGCACCTGCCGGGCTGCTTCATCCATGCCTCAGAGCGGCTCGGGAGCGGGAGGTGTTCGTTCGACTGATGGGTGAGCAGCCAGGGCCCAGAGGGGTAGGACTCGCTTGGAGACCCATGCAAGCCCCACGGCTTCCAAGATTCACCGGATCCAGACCCACTCGGCTGACTCCAGTGCACGTCCCACCACGCCCTAAGTCTGGCGCTGGGTCAGATTCTTCTCTGCATTCCCCAAGGCACCTGGCCCAGAGCTGGTGACAAGGACCATGGCTATGGCAGGAAGAAGGAGTAGGCCCCTGGCGGCGGGCTGGAGATGGGCGGGAGCTCAGGGCAGGCACTGGCAGGATGATGAAGATGGCCCCATCAGCCACCAAACTCTCCACTCCACCCTGACTCTGGCCTCACCACCCCTCATGTGGACACTGCTCCAGTGCCTTTCCTGGCCCCCAGACTCCCTTTATCCTCCTTCGCCTGTAGTCTCCCCTTCCTCTGCCCCAAGGCTCTCCAGGCCTTACAGAACAGAGCCTGGGGTCCCTCATCTGGCCTCCTCTGCTCTGACATTGTTTCCGCCCCCACACTGGCCCCAGAAGGCATGGTGGCCGCGCCCGAGCATGGGGGGCACAGAACACGGGCAGGTACATACATTAGCTGCTTTATTGAGCAAAGTTGTGGAGACTCAGTAAGGCACGGAGTCCCAGAAGGGAGCGTTGTGCCCTGGGGGATGTGGTCAGCACCACCCGGGGCCTCAGTGCTGGGGACCCCATCCTGGGGAATGGCTCTGAGGGTTTGTCTCCTCGGGATCCCTCTCCCGGAGAGCCTAAAAATAAGGGCCCCTTTTTTCCCAAGAGGGTGAGTGCAGGGGATGGGGGACAAGGGTAAGGAAGAGGCAGCTCTGTGGTCTGGAGGCAGTGGGAAGGTAGGGCTCAGGTTTGGGTCTGAGGTTCCCCATCCCCAAAGGCACTAAGAACAGGGGGCCCAGCTCCGGAGCAAGTCCTGGAGGTGGGCTGGGGTAGGGGCTCAGTGTGGCTGACTCCCTGAGCCCCAAGGCACCAGTTGGGCAGGCCACCTCAGCTGAAGTCCCTGTTTGGCAGGAGGAGAGGGGCCACCAGGGTCCACAGGTAAAGGAGCAGCCCCGCCCAGCTGGCGCAGATCTTCACCCACACGGCGGTCCACGTGCTGATCAACTTCCGGGTCTCGCCAGGTCTGGAACACACCATCGTCCCAGTGACCTCAGTCCTGGTCCTGACCCTACAACCCAGTTGTGACCCCTGACTTCGACTCTGGCTCTTACTCTGTAACTCTAGCCCCCGATCTCTGATATTTTTGATATTTGGCCTTGGTTCTGTCTTTGACCTTAAATGTGGCTTTTGATTAATACCACAGACCTGACCCTGACCTCAATTTCAACACTGACCCCAGTCCTAGACTCTAATATTATAACCTGTCTCCTGGTCCCTGCCTTTGGGACCCCAGAGCTCCTGACCTTAGTCCTGACCTCCAACCTTGACTCTGACCCTCAATCCTATAACTCCATCCCTGAACCCTGACCTTAAGACCACGTTCTGATATCTCTGACCTTAATTCCAACCCTTGACTCTGTAACACCAGTCCTGAGCCCTGACCTTGTTACTCTGATCTTAGTTCCATGACCTCATAACTTCAAACCTGGCTTTATAGCCTGCTAACCCCAATTCTAACCAGAAGAACCAAATCTGTGACTTCATATGGCCCCAGTCCCCAACCCTTGACTTCAGGACTCCTATTCTTGACCCTGTAACCAATTCTAACCGCACACTCTAAATCCTAACCCTCTAGTCACGAATCCCAACTCAGACCTTATACTCTTGATCTGTAAAGCCTCATCTGCCCTGCACAGGCCCAGCGTCCCCTCCTGTAAACGCCCCACCACCACCTTTCTCAGGCACTTAGGGAAGGCACAAGCTACTGAGCAGACTGGCCTGGCAGCTGGGGCCTGGACGGGCAGGCTCTGTGGAGGGTCCCAGACAGACCGCTCTGTGGCCAAACCTGCAGCAGGCATCAGGAGAAGCCGGGATGGAGGGATGGAGGGGGGGAGGTGGGGGGAGGGGAGAGGATGTATGCGGCGCCCACGCCCCTGCACAGCCCACGCAGTCCATGCCCGGCCTGGGTTCGTGTACCTGTACCAGTTGGTAAGGGTCATCATGATGTGCAGGGATGCAAGTACCAGGCAGAAGTGGAAGAAGGAGTAGCTGTAGGTGACACCGTCCTGCTCATTGTCGTAGGCCTGGCCCCGGCACTCTGCCACCACCTGCCGCTGCTGCATGATCTCTGGCGCCGACTGGCCCTCCTCTGTCTGCATCAGGCTGTTCACCTGCCGGTGGTCTGAGGAGCGCAGCCTGTCGGGGAGGGAGGGGAGGGGCAGGGAGGAAGCCCCGGGGTGCCTCGTGAGCCACAGCATTGGTCCTAAGGGTGGGCATGGTGGTGCGGCTCTGGGCCCACCCACTCACTGCTCTGACTCTGAAAGCCACCTCCACTTCCTATGTGGCCTTAGGCAAGACACTTAACCTCTCTGAGCCTCTGTAAAATGAGGGGTTACAGTACCTCCCTTGTAGAGCTGCCAGGAGCAGTAATAAGGTAAAGCCCTTAGCACTGTGCCCAGCACAGAGTATAAACTAGAAAAACAGGCGCTGTTATTCAGGCTGTCCATCTGCCAATCCCGTAAATATGTACTGAGTGCCCAGTCCTGCAAGGGACCATCCCCGGGATGGCACCCACTGACCATATTAATAATGAAGAGTACTCATCTGCCATTAAGTTTGTTTTCCTTTTAGAGTAGTTTTACTAATGACGTCCCCTTTCTTCATGTTTATGATTAAAAAAAAAAAAAACCACCGGCAGTAATGATTTTTTTGGTCATTTCTGTAATGAGGTCTTGATGTTTTTAACAGTATTTAATAGAGTGAGACACAAGGGCAATTCTGAAAATCCAACTCGCATTTGGGGGAAAAAAGTGACCCAGAAGGAGGTGGGGACCCCACCCGCATCCCACCAAGCTGAGAAGTCACCAGCGGAGCTTCTCCTGACCCCAGTCATCATCAGACATCATGCTGATATCCAGCGCTTGGGAGCCCAGGTCCTGGTGACACGGCTGGGCACGGCAGCCGTCCTCAGCAGTCCCTGCCCTTGTGGCTACCCCTGCTTCCTTGCTCTCTGGGTTTTCAGAACTGTGTGCTAAGGGGGCACCTGGGTGGCTCAGTCCGTTAGGCGTCCTACTCTCTTGATTTCGGCTCGGGTCACAATCTCAGGGTCACAGGACCGAGCCCTGTGTCCGGCTCTGCATCCACAGGAGGTCTGCCTGAGAGTCTCCCTTTGCCCCTCCTCCTGCATTCTCTCTCTCTCTTTCTCTTGAATAAATAAATAAAACTTTAAAAAGCACTATGCTTTTTTAAGGCCCCTGGGCTCTCAGAAGCACAGCCCCGTGACCGCAGTCCAGGGAGGTGAGTCTGGGGAGCAGCAGGAGCGCCACTCTGAGTCTGGGGGCTCTGCAGCCACCATGCGGGCTCAGACAGGGGGCCGCTCCTCCTGAACCTTCCATCTCCTTATCTGTACCAGGGAGGGGATCTGAGTCTTCCCTGGTTGAGAAAAGCATCAAATGAGGCAACAAAGGGTGACTTCCTCAGGCTTTGAAAAAAGGGCGAAACAAAATATGAAACCGCCTCAGAATGTTGGGAGACAGGTGTGCTGCTTAGAAGAAAACGTGCCCTGTCCGGAATGGAGGGACGACTCCGGGAGGGCAGAGGAACTGAGTGGAGGCCTCCTCCAGGCAGCCATGCAGGGATGGAGAGAGCAGCGCCGGCCGTGGGCCCTGCAGAGCTGGCTGTGGGTCCGCCGGACTTGGTGTGCATGCCAGTTACACTCGTGTTATGGTCTGGTGACTTACACAACAGCCACTAACTTGCAGCCCCCCAGCTGTGCAGACTCTCCCAGTTATTTGCAATAAAAGCAAACAATGATTTGGCACCGACTACTTGCCAAGTTCTTTTCTAAGTGCCTTATGCATACTAACTCATCGACCGCCCTTCCACAACCCTGCGAAGTAGGGACTATTTTTATCCTTGTTTGACAGATAAGCAAACCAAGGCACAGAAAGGTGCAGCGACCTGCCCAAGATCGCCCCGCTGCTATGTGGTACGGCCACGTTCAAACACAGGCAGTTTGGCTCCAGAGTCCATACTGATAAGCCCTTGTTAAGAGGCTCCTTTAAAAAAAAGCTGTTATGTGCTATTCAGTCTGAGCTGCCCTCTCCCAGGTGACACTGTGGGGTCCCCACCACCCCCGGCATTGGAGGTTACCATCCTCCACCATCACAAAAGCTCAGAAAGGTGAAGCCACTTGCCCTGAGATCCCATAGCAGGTGAGTGACACAGCCCACCCTGGCTGGTCGCAGTCCAGTCTTCTTCCCTGGTCCCAGCCAGGTGCCTTCACCCTACTGAGCTGGACACATGCCAGGCTGGCGTGCAAGAAGGGGGCTCTGGGCCAGGAGGCAGTGTCCAGCCGTGCCCCTGCTGCCCAGTCACTCTGCACCCTCAGAGGGATTCCATTCTGCACGAGCACAGGGCTGTCCTCCTTGGGGTCGCGGCTCCCATGTCCTCCCCTCACTCACACGCTCAGGCCCCCAGTATGATGCCTCCCCAGAAGTCAGGTGCCTCCCCCATACCCGATGAAGAGCGTGCACAGGATAAAGACAATGAGTCCCACGATGTTCGGGGCATCCCACCAGTGAGTCTCGTAGCCATCAGGGCCCGCCAGGATCGTCCCGTTGCCGAAGCGGGTCAGCAGGTGGGGGTTGCATTTCTGGTCTAGAGATGGGAGCATGGTCCCCCTCAGCCCCTGTAGGCCAGGTCTGAGGAAGGGTCGAGAGCCAACCCAAATGGACAGACAGACATACAACTGACCACCCAAATCCCAGCAACAGACAGAACTTGGCAGACAAACGACAGAGAAAGAGTTCCAGGAACAGCTAGGGTCCTCCTACCTCCCTGAAGGACTAAGAGGGGGTACAGGCTGGGCTGAGATGTCCCTGTCACCTGTGAGGGTCCCCAGCCCGCTGGAAGCCTGCTGCTGACCCAGAAATGAGCCCAGGCTTCCCCAAACCCAGGCCTGTACTCACCGGGGACACTGGACAGGGCAAGCCAGGTGACAAACATGGTGTAGAGCGTGATGACTGAGGCCTGCAGCAGACCTGAGTTGGGCTGGGCTTCCTGGTAAGAGCGGTCCATCAGGAAGAGCCCCGTCAGAACTGGGGGGGGGTGCCCCACCTGCACCTAGCTCACTCACACCACACCGGGGGGCCTCAGGAACCCCCGCCACCCTAGAGCCATCCCACCCCACACCCCTCAGGAGAACACAACCCCTGGGCCACCCACCCACCACCCACTTTGCCCACTCAAAGGTGGAGTCCTCATTCTTTCTCTGAACAGACTATCCCAGTCGCTCCCCTCTGAGAACGCCACCCCAGAGCGGCATCCGTTTACATTCTGAATTAAAGCCCTCCTTGCTTTGCTCCTCCTTCATTTCCACCTGCCCCCCACCCCCACCAGCAAGCTCCTCCCCACCGACTGCGCTGCAGCCAAGCTGGCCTCCTCTCTGTCCACAGAACCCACTAAACCCTCTCCCACCTCAGGGCCTTTGCACTCGCTGTGCCCACTCCCTGACATGGTCCTCCCCAACATCTCCACACAGCCAGCCTCTCCTTGGCTTTCAGGCCTCAGCTTGGGAGTTCTCAGTGAGGCACCAACACCCTAACCCCCGCGGCAGCACCCGCTCCCCTCCCTGCCGGCCCACCCACCTTTGCCTACTCTCTTTTATTTCCCACATAGCATGTATGATCCAAAATTATCTCCCTTGGCCTCGTCTCCTGCCAGCTGTTCTTCCCCACCCTCACCACACACACGCTTGGAAACAGGAATCCAAACTTCGATAAGCAGCACAGGCTTGGGGTCCAATCTGCCAGCGCCGCCCCCAGCTCACCCCCCGCCCCCCAAGCTGTGCGACCTCAGGCGTGTCTCTCTCCTCCTCTTAGCCTCCCCTTACTGGTCTGGAAAGTGGGGATGATGGCGGTGCCCGGACTACGTGACAGAAGAGGTCGTGGAGCTGCTGTTAGTCTCCCCTCACAGCTACACCCCAACATCTCCGAGAGAGCCCAGCACACAGCAAGTGCTCTGGAAGTCGTTACTGAATGAATACTGACTACTGTGTGAGCTGGGACAGAGGCATCACCCTCTCTGGGTTTCAGTTTTCTCACCGGGAAATAAAGGCTGAGATGAGAAGGGAGGTTCCCCACCTTTCTGCTAAAGACACTCAAAGGCTCCCCAGGCTACCTGTGAAACCCTCAGTGGGCTGAGATCTCATCCCCAACTGTGAGGCACTGCTGGGCTCATAGGGCTCTCTTGCTGAAGAGCTCACGATGACCTGGGGGGGGGCCACCCATTATGCCAGAGGGTCTGGGACTGGGGACTGCAACAGCACCTCCCAACACCGCTTGCTGAGGGGCTCTGGGAGATGTCACTCCGTGATCCTCCCTAAAGGTCCCCCGATTTCCATAAAGACAACAAGGATAACAATAGTTAATGCCTGATAGATATCTATAGACCAGGCCCTGTTCTCTGGGTTCACAAACTCTATCTCAATCCTGCAAATAACTCCAAAGCATAGGTATTACCCTCATTTCTACATGGGAGAAGAGAGAAGCACAGAGAGGGTAAGGCACTTTCCCAAGGACACCTAGCAAGTAGCCATGAAAGCTATGACTCCAAGCCAAGGAGGCCAACTCGGGAGCCCACACCCTTAGCCCGAGCCTCTATGACTGATGGCCTTTCCCCAGACCCCCAGGTTCCTACCAGAAGTCCCCCCACACCAAGGGGCCTGGCGTCAGGACGGGCAGAGACAAGCAGACTCACCTGGACCTTGGGCAGGACGGCGACAATGGAGACACAGAAGCAGAGAGTGAGGTTGAGGCCGATGAAGACCTTGCCTTCATAGCAGGTGCCGGGATGAGTGTAGTAGATGAACAGCAACGTCACGGCCGTGATGGACAACGTGTAGAAGAGGAGGGTGAAGAAGAAGAGGCCTGGGCAGGAGGGGTGGCGAGAGGCTGGGTCAGGAGGCAGAGAGACCCCCCCACCCTCGAGGGGCGCTTGTCGGGCAGCCCCATGTGTGGGCCCGCGGCTTCCTCATCGAAGGAATGATATCAGTGTCCATCACTCACCAACACCTGGATGAGCTGTGGCCCCATCTTGAACTAAAAGGACTCACTTGCTATGAATAAGTTAACCATGGAAAGAAATACAATGAACACAAGAGTCTTTCACAAAGTCCACTTGCCGCACGGGGACCCGCTGAAGCCCAGCTCTCTCATCGTAGAGACTGGCCGCTTTCGAGAGGCATTGAAACCTAACCGGCCCCTCACTGAGCCCTCCTGGTCAGCACAGGAGAATGGAAAGGGAGCTGAGCAGGGATCTGCTCTGCCCTGGGAGCTTCAGGGTCCCAGTGTCTTTCCGTTTGGTCTGGGCTGGCTGCGTGAGGCCCATCCTACAGGAACCGCTGAACTAGACCCCGCCAAGTCCTTTCCGGTCCGGCTCCCCTCTTACTGCCCCCCAAAGTCACCCCAGAACCAGGTGCCCCTGCCCACACACATCCCCCTTTCCTTCCATCAGCCCCGGTTGGTTCCACTGCCGCCCTAGGGCATGGGCCACTCCAGATGCCCCCTGAGGCTTTCCTCCAGCTTGGGGACCCACTGCTGCTCGGGCTATGGAGACATCCGGACATCGCTCACCTGCATACCAGGCCCGGGAGTCACACTCCTCTGCCTTGCACAGCCACCGCTGGTTCCAGCAGTGAGCGAAGTCGATAAGCAGCACCAGCTGGATGAGGGTGAAGAGGAAGGAGCCCACGACACCGAAGTAGAACCAGACTGCACGGGGAGAGGGAACGGGGGTGAGGGGGCGAGGCAGCGGGGGGGCAGCCTGAAGGCCAGGCTTTATGCCATACCCTGCAATGGGGAGCCTGGGAAGTAGCAATGTCCATGCTCTCGGGGACCCCCTAGGCATGTACGGAGAGGCAGCGTGGCAGGGCATGGGGCAGGGGTGAGGCTGGCCCCGCCCACCTGCCTCCTAGCCCCCGCCATATCGCCCAAAGGCCATGTGGCCAAACACCAGAGCGCTGTCTCCTACCCAGCCAGCAGCAGCCTGAGGTCTGTGTACCCAGGCAAAGCGCAACCCCCACTGGTGCTCCTCCCTCTGGAGACCCAACCTCCCTCCTGGGACCACCCCCTACCCAGTCTCTCCCACCAAGACCACCTACTGTTGGAGAAGGAGCCCTCAGGGATATAAAATGCGCCCACGGTGATGGCCACAAGGATCAGGAACTTAAAGAACCAAAATCTGTTGGGGGATAGACCAGGGCGCTAAGTGGGGGGAGGGGACCAGGGCTGGCCCCCAGAACCCTACCCCCAAAATCAGGTCCTAGGTCCTGGAGCAAGTGAAGAGGGACTTTCTGGTGGTCTGATGAGCATAGTCTGTCCCGGCCCTAGAAAAATCCCTGAGGGACAGAGGGAAGGACTAAGTCAGAGCGACGGTGGCCACCCAGGTTCTTGTCCCAACTGTGTCACTTAAGTGCTATGTGGCCTTAAGCATGTTCTCACCCTTTCTGACTTGTATTTCTTCATCTGAGAAGTGGAAAGAGCTAAATGAGCTGGTCGCGGTGCTCTGGTGGCTCCCGAGTCTGGGGGCAGGGCCCGGAGACTGCTGGAGACCGACTGGGGGCAGAAACTACGGCGGGGGTCCCGGCTGCAGGCTGGGGGGGTGCCCTCACCCGTTCTGGACGGCAGCCCTGGGGTCCCGGCTGCTGTGCACACAGATCATGAACAGGGTGAAGAGGAAGAAAAAGGCCGCCGTCGCAAAGCACATGCGGTAGACGGCGCGGTGGCCGAGCAGGGAGCCACAGTCGATGTGGCCCTGAAGGATGACGGGCGTCGTTGTGGCCCCCTCCTCACACACCCACGGCAGCTGTGGGGAGACAGAGCAGCGTGAAGGCCCCCTGCCCGCAGAACCCTGGGCCAACTCTACCAAGACTCCCCACTTCCCCGCCATCTGGACCCCCTCCCAGCCCTGGCGCTGAAGTCCTGTGAGTGGCCCCTGGGGACAGATGGGGACACGTGGCCCAGTGACAGATCATGACTCTCTGCTTGCTTCCCTGCTGTCGCCCCCATGGCCTCCGGACCGCACGGCACTGTGGGAAGCAGGACTGAGTGTTCCCTCCACCACTTACGCCAGAACCCCCGGGGACTCCGGGAGAAGGTGAGATTCCAGGGCTTTCTCAGACAGAACCAGTGTTTGAGGTGCAGTCCGAAAGTCTGCATTTCTAGCACACTCCCAAGGCATTCCTACTTCCCCGTACACTGAAATGTCAGAGCCACTGGCCCAGATATGGCCCCGGGCCTATGCCAGGCTCTAAGATGCTGGGATGAAGGGAAGACTAAGGACCCCAAACAGGGCTCGAGACTAAGGAGGGAAAAGCACGGCCCAGGGCCAGCATCCAGGTGGGGGACAATTATGATCCATGAGATCTCCAAAGGACCCCAGGCTTATGAGAAACAAACTCTCCTCCCCACATGAAGAAACGCCCCCATCACCACCCCCGGGACACTCCTGCCCAGCCTTCTCGATGAGCTGGGACCTCAAATCGCACCTCTCCTCTGCCCCAGGCCTGGAGCAGTTGGGCCTGCACTTGAGAGCTGGGTCCCACGGGCTGCCCCACCCCCCTGCCTGCCGTGGGACCCTCACCTTGTGGAGCTGACTCTCTACGCTGGGGCTCAGCATGATGATGGACACCAAGACCCCCAGGAAGAGGAAGGCCGTGAAGATGAGACGGGTCACGGTGGAGTTGGGGCTGGAGGGGCAGCAGCTACACAGGACACAGGGGGCAGAGCCGCAGAGGCAGGACACCTGTGGGAAGGACAGGGCCATGGTGGGGGATGGTCCCCTTACTCCCTGCCTCCTCTCCTCTTCCCCCTCCCCCTTCCCCTTCCCCAGCCAAGCAAGAGCACCCCCCACCTGCCCTCTCCATGTCTCCAGATCTTTGCCAAGCCTGTCCCCCCTGGACCAGGCAGGGGTGCCCTCTTCCTCCTCAGACATTATCCCATCGAAGGTTCAAGCCCCAAAGGGCTCTGAGGAAACCAAGCTTCGAAAAGGTTGGGTCACGCTGTTTCTTATGTAGGGGGAGGCAGCATGGTAAAGGATGGATGGATGCATGGATGCATGGATACATGGATGGACCGCTCCAGACCAGCTCCAACATGTATAAGCTGTGCAGTGGCCCTACACACCTCACTCAACCTCTCTGAACCTCAGTTTCCTCTTCCATAAGATGGGAATCATAACAGTACCAACTTTTCACAGGAATTTTAAATTGCAACGTGCTCCGGCTTTCTTTTCCCCCTCGCGATTTAGCGTTTCTCCCTGGGACTGGCTTTCCCTTTTAACTCAGGTTTGTCCACTTCCCGTTTCCAGCATGTGAGCTCCTCCGGGGCCCGGGGTTTGGTTCGCTGTGTAGACCCAGCGATCAGAACGGTGCTTGGCTCACAGCAGGAGCTCAGGGACTATGGACTGAACAAATGTAATGTGTTTGGCGTGGACCCAGACACATGTAAAGCCCGCAAGGAACAGTCGGCCTGGGATAACCATGTGCTGAAGGAATGGAAGACAGAGTCGTGAGGGGCTGTGATCTCCGGTTCTGGGGCTGGCCCTGTCCCGGACAGCAGGAACGGTCTTCCCCTCCCCCCCGCCTCCTCCCCCTCTCCCAGCTCGGCTGCCCAAGCTGCCATCAGCCCCTACCCTCCCTGGGGCCGGCTAAAATCATGTGGGGCCTGGTGAGGCCACTCTATTCCCAGCTGGCATCCCAAAACAGACTGACCCCTCTGGGGACCGGACCTACATGCAAACACATCCGGTTACCAGTTTCTCTTCCCTGAGACAACCCCAGCTCTTCACCCAGGTATGTAAGAGTCAAGAGCTCTCAAGAAAGACACCCAACAACCATTCCCCTGGTCATGGTCATTGTTGCCCTGAGTGTCACTGACAGGGGCCTACTTCAGACTGGGGATGCAGGGTCCCTTCCCTGAAGAAGTGACATTTGAGCTGAGCTGAAGAATGAGGGGGCCCTCCCCCGAGCAGGGGGAAGAAAGAGTGTTCCAGACAGAGGGAGCACAGGTGGAGGGCAACTCTGGGGCGGGCAGGAGCTGGGCGATGGAGGAAGACAAAGAGGCCCCTTGTGGCCAAAGCTTTGGGGGCAAGTGGCGAGTGACAGGTGGGGAGGTCAGGGGTGAGGACAGATGCGTGCATATGCACACACACACATGCACACACAAGTTCACTGTGGCACTGCTCACACCCAGAAAGTACTAGGGGGAAACTTAAAATAACTAAATGCCCATCCGTACATCGTGGTCCCTACAAGGGATCTCCGCTGAATGCTGCAGAAGTGTAGGTAACACTTAGAGGGGTACATGTAACAAAGTATAGGGAAATATCAATTCTACCTCAATAAAGCTGGTTTTATTGCTAAAAGAGAAAAATTTTAGAATTAAGAAATTTAGAAAATTTGGGCGCCTGGGTGGCTCAGTGGGTTAAAGCCTCTGCCTTCGGCTCAGGTCATGATCCCAGGGTCCTGGGATCGAGCCCCACATCGGGCTCTCTGCTCCGCAGGGATCCTGCTTCCTCCTCTCTCTCTCTCTGCCTGCCTCTCTGCCTGCTTGTGATCTCTGTCTGTCAAATAAATAAAATAAAAAAAATCTTTAAAAAAAATAAAAAAAACAAAAAAGAAATTTAGAAAATTAAAAAATTTAGAAAAATTTTAGATTAAGACGAAAAACCAAAATAGGCACAAAGCTTTGGGTTTTATGAACTTATTAGAATCTCAAGAGACTGCCAATAACCTACATGTCCTGTGCCAGGGGCCCGTGGTGGTCCCTTTACTCCATGGAACGTTACAGGGGCAGGAAAGAAACAAGTCACCAGGACACAGGGCAACACAGACTAACATTTATGACACAAGGTGAAAGGCCAAGGCAGACATGACACTGCTCCTGTGCTAAGATTACGCTCCCACCCACAACGGGACTCAGGGGAGTAGCAGCAACAGAGCAACACCGAAACACTGGGCACGGTTTCGCAGTAGCCTGGTTCTTGGAATGGGGAATCGGCTCTTAGAAAGCCCTGGGTCTTATAGTTTTCAGGCTGCAAGGCTCCTTGGCATTCATCTGGTCTGGCCTCTCTCTAATGAAGAATCACCCAGAAGGCAGCCTTCTGCTGCTTACACACCACCAATGACAAGGAGCTCACCACCCCGAGGCAAGCTGGACAGCTCTGGAGCCATGTGTGGTTTGGCCTGGTGGGAACAGGCTGTCACCGATCACTCACACTCTCTTCTGGTTGCCCCGAAAGCCAGGGATGTGGGTTCTCGGGACCATTCCTGGGGCACCAGGCAGGCGGGGGAAGCAGCTAGGGTTGGGGCCACAGTTTAAAGTTGTTTTGTTTCAAATAAACTGACCTAGGGGTACCTGGGTGGCTCGGTTGGTTAAGTGCCCGCCTTCAGCTCAGGTCATGATGGAGTCCCGAGTCAGGCCCCCTGCTCAGCGGGGAGTCTGCTTCTCCCTCTTCCTCTGCTCTGTGTGTGCATGTGCTCTCTCTCTCTCTCAAATAAACAAAATAAATCTTAAAAATAAATAAATAAACTGATCCTCCACTTCTGGGTATTAGTCAAAAGCAAGGACTCAGACAGATACCTGCACACCCATGTTTATAACAGCATTATTCACAGTAGTCGAAAGGTAGAAGAAGGCCCCCGTGTCCATGAACTGATGTATGATCAATAAACACAGTGTGGGATACCCTTACAAGGGACTATTACTGAGCCTTAAAAAGAAGAACATTTTTGGGGCGCTTGGGTGGCTCAGTGGGTTAAGCCTCTGCCTTCCGCTCAGGTCATGATCTCAGGATCCTGGGATCGAGCCCCACATTGGGCTCTCTGCTCAGCGGGGAGCCTGCTTCCTCCTCTCTCTCTCTGCCTGCCTCTCTGCCTACTTGTGATCTGTCAAATAAAATAAATAAATAAATAAATAAATAAATAAATAAAAAGGAAGGACATTTTGACACCTGCTACAACACAGATGGACCATGGAGACATTGTGGCAAATGAAATAAACCAGACACTGAAGGACAAATGTCCTTTGATTCCACTGATATGAGGACCTAGAGCAGTCAGATTCACAGAGACAGAAAGTAGACTGGGGGCTTCCAGGGGCTGGGGACAGGGGCATGGAGAGTTATCATTGAACGGGTAGCGAGTTTCAAAAGGGGGAGGATGAGAAAGTTCTGGAGATGAATGGTGGAGATAATTCGCACAACAACGTGAATGTAATTAACGCCACTGAACCACACGCTTAAAAATGGTTAAAATGGTCCGTTTTATGTTATGTGTATGTTACCACAATCGGGAAAAAGGAGGGATCCGTTTTCAAGGAAGGGTAAGAAGTCAGCCAGGTGAGGAAGGGAAAGATGTTCCTACAAAGGGAACAACAGCACGGGCAAAACTGCAAGAAACACTCTCTTAGGGGCAGCTATCAAGAGAAGAAGGCAGAAGGCTGATGCAAGTGTTGGCCAAGGTCTCTACGGGCCGTGCCAGGGAGTCTGCACTTTTCCTGAAGGCAATGAGCAAGCATCGCGCAGGAGAAGCGGAGCATCAGATCTGTATTACCGGGAGACCGCTTCGGCCACAGATGGAAGACAGATGCGGGGGGCGGTGCCCAGTACCTCTAGGAACAGGGAGAGCAAGCTAGCAGAACAGACACCAAGGGAAAGGAGGCAGAGCCTAGAGCTTTTCTTGTGTGTTTCAACCCACAATATTTCCCCTTTTGGATACTACCGTTCATTTGGGATGATATCAGTTCGATATCATGAAAATCGATAGCCATTTAAAAAAAATTTTTAGAAGGTTTATTTATTTATTTGACAGAGAGACACAGAGAGAGGGAGGAAACACAAGCAGGGGAAGTAGGAGAGGGAGAAGCAGGCTTCCCGCCGAGCAGGGAGCCTCGATCCCAGGACACTGGGATCACGACTGGAGCCTAAGGCAGCCACCCAGGCGCCCTCGATAACCATAAATATATATAAATATATATATATATACATATATATATATATATATATATATATACACAAACACACACACACATATATTTGATATATATAATATGTCATGGTACATCATATATATGTCATGAAATAAATTACAAGCTTCTTGAAAACTAAAAAAAGTTACAATGCAAATTTCTTAAAAGATTTTATTTTATTTTTTTTTTTTTATTTGCTAGAGAGAGAGAGAACACAAGCAGAGGGAGCGACAGGCAGAGGGAGGAGCAGGATCCCCGCTGAGCAAGAAGCCCGATGTGAGGCTTCATCCCAGGACCTTGGAATCATGACCTGAGCTGAAGGCAGAGGCTTAACTGATGGAGACACCCAGGCGCCCCTAAAGATTTTATTTTTAAGTAATCTTTACACCCAGCATGGGGCTCGAACTCATAGTCCTGAGATCAAGAGTCGCATGCTCTGCTGACTGAGCCAGCCAGGTGTCCCTAAAGTGGTAAATTTTTATGTGACGTACATTTTGCTACAATTGGGACAAAAAACCGGTCCCAGCAAGGATGGGGTGCACCTTGCAGACTCTGTGAACAGCTCCAATACTGGCCAAGCCAACCGGGGAACAGAGGAGACCCAGCAGAGAAGAGGTCGGCCCCCGAACTACTCAGGGCACACGCACCACCTCGGGCAGCACTAATAGATCACCTAGTCTGGGCGCAGCCACCAGCTTGGAGGAGAGCCTTAGACAGGTCTCTTTTCCCTGCTGTGGGACTCAGTTTCCTCAGCCATAAGATGGGCTGCTGGGCAGGGCAGTGAAGTGGCTCAGAGCCCAGGCTCTACCGTCAGTCCCAGTGTCCCTGATCCCCAACTTCCTCGAATGTGATCTGGAGCACTTTCCCACTTTGGGGTGCTTAGAGCGGCCACTGCAGGCCAGCTTCATGCTAAGTATGTCAGCGTGCCCCTCTCCATCCCACTTAATCCTCACAATGTGCTGAGAGACAGGCACCATTGCTCTCTCCACTTCCTCACTCTCTGCCCCTGAGGGGCGAGGGGACTGTGGCCGCAGTCACACAACCCGGGAGAGGCCACGCCAGGATCTGAGTCCCATCCTTTGCCCTTCCATGCTCCTTGAATGCAGAGCATAGACAGATCCAATGGCATTCAGATATTAGACAAGGCCCTCCCTAGGCATTTGCTCACCGTCCAGGCCACCAAGTGCTGGCTGGCCTGGTGACTCCCATTGCATCTTGGGCCCATCTTATCTCCTCTGAGCCAGGGCTCACCCTTGGCCCAATACAAATGCTGACCGAAAGGCATGATGGGCAGATGCAAATGGGTCATGCCTGGAAGTCTTCTCCCTGGATCCACAGACTCCAGAATGTTCCCCCAAAGATGCCCAGGAATCCCCTACTAGAACTTTCCTCCTATGGCGCACATATCTGTTGAAACAGGTTGTTTTTGGTTTGTTGTTTCTTTGTTTTTTTTAAGTAGGCTCCACACTGGGCATGGAGCCCAGCACGGGGCTTGAACTCACAACCCTGAGATCAAGACCTGAGCTGAGATGAAGAGTCGGTTGCTTAATTGACTGAGCCACCCAGGTGCCCCTGAAATAGGTTGTTATCAGTGTCCAGTAACACCCAACTGTACCACTTAATACTGTGTGGCTGTGGGGAAATCACCTTCCCTCTCTGATCCAGTTTTGTCTGGATCATTTCTGTCTGTCATTTCTGTGAAATGGAAATCAAGAGAACTGCCTCACCGGAGCTGTGGCTGAAGTGAACGAGAAGACACACACACAGAGCTCACCACATGCTGGCTTGTGCCACCACTGAACAGCACTGGGCCCTGAGTGAGGACGCCCTGGTCATGGCTGCTGTTGGTATCATTAACGGAGATGAGGCGACTGTGTCAGAGGGCAGGCAAGAGAACCAACCAGACAGCATGGCAAGGGCTCAGCACAGTGCCTGGTATGTGGTAGGAAATCAGTAAATGTCCGAGGTCAGAAGCCCCAGGGAGGCCACTGAAAGGAGGGACAGGTCCCCTGCAGACATTAGATACTCATTAAGTGGACCTCCCAGTTCTACCCTGGACCAGCGCTGTCCCTCAGGCACCCGGGATGTGAAGGGAGGGAAGGTGTGGGTGGAAGCCTGGACCATGAATCAGATTTTAATCTTGACTGCCCAGCTTCCCATCCGTTGTCTGTGCATCCTACGGGAAGTCAGCTAACCTCTCTGAGCCGCAGTTTGTTGAGGGTTTGAGCCAGCCTGTCAGGTGCCTTCTGGTCTCAGAGCTGTAAGATTCCATGACTCAGTGGCCAGCTTAGGCTGCAAAGGGAATTCTCCACCCACTCTCTAGGAGGTTATAATAGCGCCACTCACCGTGGCCAGGAAGTAGGTGGGGCACTTTTCGATCTTCCTCAAACAGAACCGTGGAGGAGGCAGATGGGGAGACAGAGGCACAGGGAATTGGCAAGTGGCCTCTCAGCCTCTCAACATGGACCACTCCCAGGCCAGCCCAGCCAAATGGAAAACTGGTCAACCTCAAGGAAGCGCTCTCTCCCCTACCAGGAAGCAAACCCTTCCTGGCCAGACCCAGCCCAAACTTAGAATTCACTGGGCAGAAAGGAATCTCAGAGACCTGTTCTTCATTCCTGTGGGCAAAGGCCCACACATGCGCACACACGCTTCACAGGTAGGTAAGTGGAGGCCCAGAGAGGACAAGAGACAGTCCAGGGGCCCACTCTAGAGCCTCTCGGTGCATATATCATTCTCAGAAAATGGTTGCAAAGTAATCTCCAGATCCCGAAGCTCACCAACCCTACAGCCCACACACACACACACACACACACACACACACACACACACACACACAGGAATCAGGGACAAAGGAAAGCAAGTCCTGAGATTTGCAGCCACCAGACCCCCCTCTTCTCTCTGCTTCTCTTTGTGTAGGGCAGAGGGGGATGGAGCTGCCTGAACGAACCTCAGATTTAATGAGGGGAAGAGGGAAAGGAGAGGGGGCTGGGAAAAGGGAAAGGAAAAGGGGCCTCCCAGCTCCTCCCCTTTGCTGGCTGCAGCCCCAGAGCAGTACCCCACCACCAGCACCACCACCCGCACACTCTAGCCTCCCTCAATTCCTGGGTCTTCCAAGCCAGAGCTGGGCCTGCTGGCAATTGGCAACCCAAACCATCTCACTCAAGCGTGGCTTAGGAAGGCGGATGGGGGCTTCCTCTCCACCCCCATTTCGGGCTCCCGGGCCTAGAGGGGAAAGGCCTGGGGCTCACTGGGGAAGTCCCCAGGACTTAGAGTGAGTTAGTCTGAAAGAGGCAGAGACCAGGATGCAGAAAGACAGGCTGGACGATAGGACAGACGGACACCCGTCAGGCAATGACTGATGGAGAAGCCACGGACGGACAAAGAGAGCGGGATAAACAAACGGACAGAAACAAATGTCCGACAAATATAAATGCGCAAATTGAGGCAGGCGGGCCGGGAGACAGACTGAAAGACGGATTGCCAGAGGGACAGAAAAAGACACTGCAGAGTGGGGCAGGGACTAGGCGGGCCACACAAAGAAGTAAGAACGTCTGAGAGAGACAACAGGCGGACGGCTAGGATGTCCCCAAGTTGGGCGAGGTGGGGCCCCAGCGCGCACCCCCACCCCGGGCTACGGGCCTCAGTCTCCCCAGTCCCCAGGAGGGGAGCCCTCCCAAGGCCCGCCCCTCCCCCCGCCCCGCCACCCGGGCGCGCCCCAACCCCTCCCCCGCGGTAACCTGAGCACCGGACACCAGCTGTCCCCGGCGCCCGCTGGTCCGGGATGGGGGTGGGAGGACCGAGGGACTGGGGGACCCGCGGGGCGCGGTGGCGGGGTGCGGGCCCAGAAAGACAAGTTTGGAGGAAGAAAAAAGAAGAAACTATGTGGAGGAAGAAGACGGGACAAAAGTGCGGGGCCGAAGAAGGAGCGGGCGGCGCGCGGGTGGGTCAGGACTCACGCAGCTGAGCACGGAGCAGGCCCCCAGGCAGGCCCCCATGGCGGCGGCGCGGGGCGCGGGGTGCGGGGCGCGGGCGGCGGAATCACTGGGGCTCCGGGCGCCCGCTCCTGGCCCCGCCCCGCCCCGGTCGAGTCCCGCCCCCCGCCCCGCCCCGCCCCCGCCCCGCCCCACCTGCCGAAGCCTCTCGCCGCTTTCCGGCCACTCTCGGAGCCTCCGGGGACTCACCTGGGGCAGGTGCGCCCGGAAAGACTGGTAGGGAAAGTGACAGGGCCTGGGACTCCCGCGGCCATGTGAGGCGTGCAGCGGTACCCGACTCTGCCCCAGGTTCAAGCCTTGTTACAAAGCGAGGTTTTGGAAATACCGAGACCTGGGTTCGAACCCCAATGAGGCCACAGCGCGACCCTACAACACTGTCCCCTCACAAGGGGCAGAAGCCAAGTGATGGTCACCCCAAATTCCTTGGCGTAGAGCCTCCACCCAATACATAGGTGTTGTATGGTGCATGATCTGATAAAGAAACTTGGGCAATTCACTTCACCTCTTGGAGCCTCAGTTTCCCCATCTGTAAAATGAAGATACCCACCTCATGGGGCTGTTCCAACACATAGTAAATGCCTGACAAATGTGAGCTCCTCATCATCCCTGTTTCTCCTAAGACCCTGGCCTCACACTCCTTCAGCCATCCTTCCCTCCACCCACCCCTTCTTCAAGCTCTACTGACTCCTGTCTTGGTCCACACGTTCCCCTGAGCCATTCCTGCTGGCTGGCTTATTGCTCCCCAAAGATGCCCAAACGCTGGCCCCCAGCTACGCTAAGGAGGTCAGAAGGGTGGGTGGGTCACATTCCCAGCCAAATGCCCCATACAGGTAGGTGAGGGAGACCCAGAATTGGGGCTCTGTAATTATTCTCAGTTTACCCTCCAGCCCTCTCCTCGCTCAACCCTGGACAGATAATGTTAGGGCAGGAAGTCTAAGTGCCTCACAGCTGGCCCTGGGGCCAGAGATCCGGCCTGACTGCCCCTTGGGTGATTCATGGAACCAGGCTGTTAACTGTGCCCAGGACTGTTCCACAAACACACCCTACAGCTTCCCTCCTCCCCACTTTTGTCCACATTATGCCCTCTCCTTGGAAAGTCCTTTTATTCTCCTTACCCCCCCCCCACTTTCTGCCTCCAGAAGCCTCACTCACATCCCATATCCTAGTGAAGAGAACCACTACTATCCCCAAACCACTACCTGGCCCCATTAGGAATGAATATCCTCCAACTTCCCTGAGTTTCTACCACATGGACCTATGTTACAGTCTCACAAATAACTCAAGTTACCAGAAAGCTGGAGCAGGTGCCGAACTCCTTCACCTACATGGTCCCATCCAAACCCCACAATCACCCTAAGAAGTAGATTCATTCCTCACTCCACCCAGTTTACAGATCGGGAGACTGAGGCGCAAAGTAAAGTGATGTGCCTCCCATAAGCCCAGCCCTGAATCAACATTGGCTGTGATTATTGTGGTTGCTGTTACTGTTGCTCAAGGCCACACAGGTCAGAAGGGCAGAGCTGGAAGACCACCTGGCCTGGCCTTGACCTTGGAACCCAAGGCCTGTCCCTGAGGTCCCACGGCCTCTCTTGGAAAACAGAGCAGAAGATATCCTCTCTCTGTGCAAGAATAGGTGCAGTCCTTCCCTAGTCCGAGACTAGGAGCCACGCAGGGACTGTCCGAGTCTGGCCACCCCTCCCCTGACCTGGGTCCAGCACCAAGCCCGGCACACGGGAAGTGGTCTTGTGGAATGAACGCATGTCTGAACCTCCGCCCCAAGCCCAGTTCCTCAATTGGTTGTGACCAATGGTCTGATCCCAAAACAGCCCATCCACGGTCCTCCTCTCTCCAGAAATCCTCTGCGTCTGCAATGCCACCACGCAGTCTAAAGGGACTCTTCCCACAGCCACCCACCCCACCCAGTTCAGCATCTTTTGATACTTGTGCCCCAAGGGCCAGACTCTTCCTTCCTCAGCCCCTTCCCCTCCCACGGCCTGATCCAGGAGAAAGCACCCAAAATCAAGACAAGCCATAGCTGAGACTCTTCTTCTGTCAGAGCCTCTGTACCCTCGGCCATCCTGGGGGTCACTTCACCTCCCTCCCCTCCCCTGAAATGGGAATGCTTATCCTGCTTAACCTCCCAGAACTGTTGGGAACATAGAGAAAGCACTGGAAGAAATAGGCAGTTGTCTGAAAGGAGGACGGGTTTAAGGGGATCACAAGTATTTTTTTTTAAAGATTTTATTTGTTTATTTGACAGAGAGAGAGATCACAAGTAGGCAGAGAGGCAGGCAGAGAGAGGGGGGAAGCAGGCTCCCGGAGGAGCAGAGCCCGATGTGGGGCTCGATCCCAGGACCCTGAGATCATGACCTGAGCCGAAGGCAGAGGCTTAATGCACTGAGCCACCCAGGCGCCCCCCTACCTGGTTTTCGATTACAGTTTTCCAGAGCAGGGCATCACACTGCCCTTGTCCTGGCGCCACCCCGCCCAAGATCCCCAAGACCTAAGCAAGTGGCCCTCGAGGCCTCTTGAGGCCCCCATGGCACCCTACACGGAGGGGCCAACCGAGCTGCAGATAACTCACCGGGTTGCCTCGTCCCGGTGACGACTCCTCCTCCTTCAGCCTCACGCTTCTCATCTGTAAAAGGCAGACCATCGTGTTTGCTCGAGCTACCTCAGGAGATTATTGAGAGATGAAATGAGGAAGTAGATAAAGAGGCTTCATTACTTCTCTCTTGCCCATCCCACCTACTTGTCTCCCAGTCTTGAACCTCCTTCAAGGACCAGAGTCACTCTCTCTGTCACACCTCCAGAGGTGAAATCATAGTCAGCAGCTGCATGACCTTGGCAAGTCACCCAGCCTCTCTGAGCCCCACTGGAGGTTGAGATTCAGGATCACCGCCATTCTTTCAACTACATCATACCATGTAAGCTATATCCATTGAGAGAAACCTGCAAGAGTCATCTAGTCCATCCTTCTGTGCCCATCAACCAGCCCAGACAGGTGCTCAGATCTCCAGATCCCAAAGGAAACAGCCTCTGGCTTCTTGGCTACTTCTTGGCCACTCACCCCAAGGGTTCACCAATCTGATCTCATTAGGCCTCGGTTTTCAAATCTCAGTATAGCAATAACCCCCTGCTCAAGCCCTCCAGTGCCCCCCCAGTGTTCCCCAGTCCGTTCTTGCCCCATCTCCACTCACCATCCTCCCGTCCATGAGGACTCAGATGCACTGTGGCTTGGAGCCTCCTATCCACAGGGCCTCAGTCTCCACACTGGCCTCCACTTCCTGCTTCTGACCCATTTACAGCGTGGGGCTGAGGCTATCTCTTATGAATATGCATGTAGGATAATGAGGGCTTGGGATTAGGGGAGGAGGTGGGGAGAGACATTCACTAGGAGCCATCCACCTGCTCTCCCCATACACAGTCCCCCACTAAGGCTGCCCTCCCTCCCAAAGGGTACACGGGAGTTTGGGACAAAGACTAAAGTGACAAAAATAATAGGACTCCCAGCAACCATCTTTAAGTGCCTACAACATGCTAGGCACCCTACTAAGAGCATCTCCTGTACGATGCTTTAAAGGTGGAAACTATTCTCCCCATTTAACAGATAGGAAAACTGATGCTCCAAGAAGTTAAGTAATGCGCCCATAAACCAGACGTAGAATGTACACAGTGGTTACCTGCAGAGCAAGGGCGGAACCCAGGTTTTGTTGGACAGCAGAGCTGGTACTCCTAACCCCCGCCACACAGATGCACGGGACCAAGCTAGGAGCCCTGAACACATGGTCGAGGGGCCACATCTGGATCTCACACCCAGCACACGAGCTCATCGTGATCTTAGGTGACCAAGTCTTGGGGAAAGGCCCCAGGGATTGGAACTGACTCCATCTGGAGAGCAGGGAAACCGGCAGACAGGTGTGTGTCCACAGTGCACGTTCACTCGTGTGCAGACACGTGAGTGATGCGTGTGTGAGCATCGGGTTTTGTGTGTGCACGGACGAGGGCGTGACAGGGTGTCCTCGAGGCTGCTCAGTGTATGCACGGCTGTGCTGCGTTTGGTCCTTCTTTTCCCACGCCTGGCGGGAGCCTGCTGAGTGCCAAGTGCCGGGAATGTGCCGTCAACAAGACCAACACAGTCCCCACCCCCCCCAGATGGACAGGCTGGGGGGGCTGTGCACCCACAGGCAGTAACACTTGGAGGGAATATTTGTGCGAGGTGCCCCCCATGAGATGTGGCTAGGAGGTGAGAGAGAAAATGGAGAAAAGAGGCAAAGGTGGGCCATGGCAGGGTGGGAGCTGCTGGGGAGCCCCAACCCTTGGCAGAAATGAGGGGCGGGGAGTCGGCTGGAACCTGGCGTGGACTCCAAGAGGGGTACAGTTTCCAGCATTCTAGAAGGTCTCTGGATGCTTCCCTCACAGACATCGAGGGTCTGCTGTGAATGCCCATGTAGGTAGTGTGTGTGTGTGTGGCTTTACAGGCGTGTGCATGTGTGATTATGTGTGCTGTTTGCACACGCGGACCCGTGTGTGGAGTAGACAAGTGTGAACGGGGGGCATGGATCAACCACACATGGTGTGTGCACAGGGCTTACGTGTAGGTGTGTGACGCATGCGGATGCGTGTGCAGCAGGGCCTGTTACTGTTGGGGACAAGGAGGAGAGAAGAATGTCCATTTGGCCCAGACCTCACTTTCACAAGCCTCCAAAATGCATCAGAAGACAGCTGGATGGATGGAGGGCTAGAGAGATCCGCAGACGGAAGGATGGGTTCAGATGCATTGACGGCCAAATGGACAGAAGGAGGGGATAGAGCCATGAAAATGTCATAAGGCAAATACTGCAAAGTGTTCATTGGAGATTCTAGGTGGTGAGGGTATGTGTATTTACCGTGCGACTCTTTCAAACTTTCTGGATGCTTGACATTTTCCATTATAAAATGTTAGAAAACAGTGCACATGGCCAGGGGGCTGGATGTCCCCTCCCGGAGAGCCATGCACACGA